CGGCCTCCGGCCTCCGGTGACCCTCCCCGCCTGCCTCCTGCCCGCCTTCTCCGGCCCCCGGCCCGCCTCCCGCCCGCCGGGGCCCGGGGCCGCGCTGAGCGGCTCCGCCCGGCCCGTGGGAAAGGTCCGCCCCTTCCCGCGCGGGCAGGCGCACTGCCGGCTTCTCCGCGGCCCTCCGCGCTCCGGAGCGGCGCTGCAGGAGTCCTCCACGTTAAAGATGTTGTCTCCTCGTGGAGGTCCTTTTTTCTCCCCTTCTTGTCAGAAAAAAAATCGTCTCAAGATGTGTCGTTATTATACACAAGAAAGGGAGCATGGACTGTGAACGACCAAAAAAAAGAAAACACAGTACGGAATGCTCATCGGAGCCGACGCCGTTGACTTAATGATTGACCAAGAGGTTTAACGCATGGAGGGCAGTGGCTGGGACCTGCTTTTACTGTGCACCGGGCAGCGTCCCCAGACCTTCGATGGAGATGCAAACTTAACACCACTTAGGTTGGAAAACAGAATTGCCAGTTTTTGTTAATGTTCTGCGAAAAAAGGTCAATATGTACCGTGTTCTGGATTTAATCAGTGCTGTTATTTAGGGTGTCATCGCTGTCAAATGCACAATGTTCTGTAACGTTCATATGTAAAAAAAATGAAAAAAAAGAGGGGCAGAATGAGCCATTTGTGAAAACTTCACGCTTCCCGACTTCTACAGACCTTTGTAACCTTATGAGCCTTAGCAAATTTCTGCATTTCACTCCGAAAGAATAATTAGATTATGAAAAATAAATGTTCTCTGATTTTTCTGTGTTCTTGACAGATGCGCATTTGATGGGCATCACTCAGGTGTTTCAGCTGAGTCAAATGCAGCTGAATCAGTCAGGACTGCATAGTTTTATTTTAAATGGTGAACTGGCAAGGCGAGCATGTTTTTCATTCCTTCAGAAAGATGGGAGGTTGGTTTGAAAATACTTTGTCAAAAGGAGCATGAGGAAATAGTTATTTTGAGCAAGAGGTGGGTACTTAACTGAATCAAAATATCTTCCCCAGCAAAACCGAGTTTTATTTTCTATTTATGTGCAATCAACCAACTTCCAGACAAGAGTGAAGTTACTTAAACAGCATTTTTTCAGAATGTTGTTGATACGAGCTGCTCCAGAGCCGCCTGGTCTGCAGCGGAGCAGCAGATCTCAGCGCACAGGGGGGTTTCCTGAAGCAAGGAAACACCAGGGCAGCAGAGAGACCCGCGAGGAGCTGGCAACTCCCACAAGAGATGCTGAGGAGGCCTGACAGAGCTTTAAACTAGACTTGAGGGGGGAGGGGGATAATATCAGGCTCTCCTGTGACAGACAAGCCTTGGGACGACGTGCCAAGGTTAGAGGGATGGGGTGCTGGCGAGGGCCCTCAGCCTGTTGCTCTGAGACTTGCTGGGTACACTGGAGCACACTTGAAGTCTTACAGAGATGAGCCAGGGGCTCCTGAGGTAATAGGATCCAACAGGGGAACACTAGTGGAATACCTCAAAGGAATTAAGGGGTGTTCCTCTAAGGTGACATGGCCGACAGCCCAGCTGAAGTCCCTCTACACCAATGCATGCAGCATGCGCAACAAATGGGAGGAGTTGGAAGCTACCATGCTGCTAGAAAGCTATGACCTAGTTGCCATTACTGAAACTTGGTGGGACAGGGAGGTGATTCGAGACAGCCAGCACGGCTTCACCAAGGGCAAGTCCTGCCTGACTAACCTAGTGGCCTTCTATGATGGAGTGACTACAGCAGTGGACAAGGGAAGAGCTACAGATGTCGTCTATCTGGACCTCTGTAAGGCCTTTGACACGGTCCCCCACGACATCCTTCTCTCTAAACTGGAGAGGTCTGGATTTGATGGGTGGACTGTCTGGTGGATAAGGAATTGGCTGGACAGTCACATCCAAAGGGTAGTGGTCAACGGCTC